CCCCAAACCTCAGGGTCAGATCTATGGCTTGAGCTGTGGTGAACTCTGCTGGTGGTAGTAGGAGGGTGGTTGATGAGAGGTATTGATCATCTAACTCGGGATATGCGTGAGATTAGGGCTGTGATTAGACAGGCTGATTTCGTGTAACTGCAGTTTTGACATACTGTAGCTGGTACTGTCTTACGAAGATTGAAAACATTTTAAGTACAGTTTGATTTAATGGAATGTTTCTATTAAAGCATGATGCTTTTTATAAACGATGCATGTTTCGTAATCTGGAGAGGCCCACCACTGTTAAATATTTCATCAGACATCGACGGTGCATCTGGGGATAGCAGTCAGATGAGATATCCATCCTGTGAGCCTTTGAAACAACGGTTAGCTGTGTAAGCGGCTCACGCGGGGCCTGGCTATACCTGTGTGACCTTCTCCAGCTGAGTACGGACTTTGGCCAGCTCCTGCTTGCTGTCCTCCAGCCTGGATTTCAGCTTCTCATTCTCAGCCAAAGCGTCCTCGTACATCTGCGAGAGGAACGAAAAAAATAAAACGCTTGGCTTCAGGGAAATCCAAGCATGAGGAAAAGTGAGGATGACTCGTGTGGCCCCCGGACTTAGTCCTGACTCCCCCTGATGTGTTTCCACCTGAGGCCATATTCACAACACAGCTTTACAAGCGGATCAGCAGATGTGTCTTTCCGTGCGTGACTGAGAGCGGGGGACTCCGTTTAGTGACACACTGGACCCCATCCTACCGGGACGATATATGAGGAGACGCACGGAAAGCGAGCCAGCGAGGAAGGTCACTTCCCCTCTCATCGTTCAGACCTTTTTGTACTCCTTTGAGCTGCCCTCCTGATCCGGTTTGTTCAGGGACGCCAGCCGGTTCTCCCGCCGGGTATAGGACCCAGTGCGACCCAGGAGTCGCTCCGTGGTGCTGTCCGTAGAGCTAGACCCAGAAACGCTGTCCAACCTGGGAAGAACAGTGATCCAAAGTTCAGGCAATTCGGCTAGCTATTGAGTTACATAGGACAAGGATTTATAGGAAGGCAGGAAGCCGAAGAACAGCGAAGTACACAGCATATTTCTGAATTTCATTTCTACAGAAATTTCACGACACACTACAATATCAGGAAGCACTTACCGAGATGCTCTGTCATGCTGTAAATGAAAACAGAAATGACTGGTCAGGCAAACATGTAAATACAATATATCACCTTCATCATGATGGAACTGTGAAATTTAGATTTGGGTCAACCTTAAATGCTACTGCATACAAGACAAACTTCGGAGACTTGTGAGGATGCTGATTTTTATGTTTTCACGACTTTCCACGACCTTATCTCTGTAGCAAAGAAAGACAACTGCATCTTTAGAAGCAGAAAAAGACGCATCGTGACACCTGGTGACCGGAAAGGGCAAACGAGGGATTATAAAGAAAAGCTTACGTCTAAGATTGTGGTCAAGCTTTTAGCCACGAGTTGAGGAGAAACTTCTTCCCGTTGAACCTGTAGAGTCAGAAGATGGCAGCCAGCAAGCTCATTATCAGGGCACCCTGCTCCTGCGTCTCCTAAATAATGTGTTTATTTAGTGTATTTAGTGTAGTGACTGTTTGTAGCCAATAGGGGGCCCCCAAACCTCAGGGTCAGATCTATGGCTTGAGCTGTGGTGAACTCTGCTGGTGGTAGTAGGAGGGTGGTTGATGAGAGGTATTGATCATCTAACACTGTCTACCTTGCATGCATGCATGTCCATCCATCCAGCTTCTGAAACCACTTACCCTAGGCAGGATCATGGGGGGGGTCTGGAACCTATAGGCACAAGGCAGGGAATAACCCAGGATGGGGCGCCAACCCATCACAGCGCATTCACACACCAGGCACTCACACCTATGTAAGTCCAGTTAGTCTCAGCATGTTCTTTGGACTGTGGGGGGAAACCGGAGTATCCATAGGACACCCAAGGACAACATGCAAACTCCACACACATGGAATCCTGACAGATACTCAAACCCAGGTCCCAGGCAACAGTGCTAACCACTGCACCACCCTGTATGTGATATTCCATATCTAGCCAGTTTATCTCCTCCTCTGACGTACAGTCAGGAAAATTTCCACAACAGAATCAAAATATATAATATAAAGTATATCATACAATATAAAAGGGAACCGTAGCATGTAAACAGGGCCTGAGTAAAATATGGAGGCAAATTGCTTATTAGGAGCTAAAAGACAGACATTCTTCACCCAGGTAAGATGTGAATCCAGGTTTTAGATTATAGGGATGCTTTTCCCCGTGTTAGACATGAGTCCAGGAATCTTAGTTTACATTATAAGGACATTTTTTCCAGGAATCTTAGTTTACATTCCCTCAGTCATGATGTTCTCCCCTCAGCACCCTGGCACCAGCAGAGGTCAACCCCTGTCGGTAAGCTGTTGTTAATCTTTCAGTGGGTGCTGGCAAGACATGGTGGAACCAGGCCATGTTTTAATGTGAATCTGCTGCTTCCTCTGGTCCGCTGTTTCACAGACTAGAGGGGGAGGGGGGAAGGGGGGGGGCACTGTACCAGTGTCTACAGATCCTGACTTGCTGGTGAGGCTTTTGATGGTACCTGCGAACTCTAACCCCGCTATGAAAAAAAATAAAGATAACCCTGTCGTCCGCTCATCAAGATATGGAGAGTCTTCTTCCCAAAGTCACTAGTTAATTTACTTCTCAATGTTAGCTCTTCCAGCAGGGGAATTTATAGGTCAAATAATCAGCTGCCCCTCTGACTCACGTTCACGCACCATGAACGTCAGCGATTGGCGGTTTCTTTATATATTTATTCGCTTATGTTTCCGGGAAGTGTCACAATGAGCCACAATGTGAAGTATAGATGACAGCAGCTTGTCTCTGTGTTTGAGAAGTGATCGCAGAAGGACCGGCCCATTTGGCTAAAGGAGACTGAGCAAACAAGAAGCATCTGGGGGAAATTAGCCAGGTGCTGGAAATCATCAACGCAATGCTAAAAGTTGAAATTTTCGTTAAAATATATCAGTTGTGAAGGACAGGTCTGATGAGTGGATAGAGTGAGAGAGACGTTACAGGTATTACGCAGTACTTCGCACAATATTAACATGTCAGTATATGCATTTTTCTTTCTCCTCCTGTAGCGCTGGCTCCCGTTTATTCTGGCAGACGAGAGGCAGCCTTGAGCGTGAAACCCGACCCAGATCTGGCGGGTCCCGTCAGGTGCTCTCGACCGCTTGGCCTGAGATCTAACCCACTGCCTGACCCACAGAGTCTACATAGGGCATGTGGGTCCACTTTGTGCCAGAACGTCTACTGGGATCATAAGGAAGACTGCCCAAGACGTGCTTGTGTTAAAAACTCAGAGGGGGAGGAAGCGTGTGAGAGAGAGAGAGCGAAAGACAGAGACTTTATATCCAGATGGAGTTCATGTTCCCTACATTCCCTGAGATTAGAGACACTCCAGCCTGGATCAACATCCCAAACATTTACTTGGGAGGATCTGGAAAGCGGCAGCTGAAGCCCAGCAACGCACACGGCTCCTAAAAGGGAAGGAAACGCAGACGAGGCTCAAGCTGAAATCGACGCAAAAAGCAGCACCAAAAAAGGACAGAAATCTGCTGCCGTTGGGCTCCGAACATCAGGGAGAAAATCATCGCTGAAACTGTCAGAGATTTAGGTTCTGCATATTTTTCTTCAGTCAACAGGTTTAGTTACCCAGCGTAGTTGTTTATAAGATAAACTGTAAAAAGTGAGTATCTTTCACGACAGGTTAATTCAGCCTGGATGTTTCTGTAAAAACTTCTTAGTCCACAGCCCAAAATGACGTCTCAGAAGACAGGAGATGTCAACAACAGCAAGCCAAACATCCCCAACCTGACAAAGCATCACCAGGAGACAGAAGTCACACTTACCATAACAATCATAACTGACACTTGATTGACCCCCATGGGGAAGTTGTCTTTATATCTCCCTCAACTTACTCTTTTTTGTAGAGAAAGTTGTCGGTGAAGGGTAGCGACCTGTAGTGGCGCCCAAGGAGTTGGGGGTTAAGGGTCTTGCTCAAGGACCCGCAGATGTGCTGAGGCTGGGTTTGTACCAGTGACCTTATGATTACAAGTATACTTGGGCAAATACAACTTCATTCTTCCAGGACTATAAAGTTCCTGCTTAATAAGAGTGACATCTTTATATGCATAAGAAAACTCCACTAAATGGATTCTGAAGGTCACTGAAATTAATCAGAGTGCTGTCTTCTGTTTTCAAAATTATTGTGCGGTCGGCAAATTATGCAAAATAATAAAGCAGTACTGTTTATGTACTCTGAAAAACAGTAAGGCAGCAGTAGTGATAAATCAATTAGCTAATGAACTCTGAACTGTTTCTGATGTGGCCATGAGGTACGCTTGCCAAAGACGGGGTGACTTAACCATGTGCTGCGCTGCCCCCTGTGTGTCAGTCACGGTAATTTAAGAGGCAGCTTCCCACTTCAGCCTCATCATACTGGATATTGAGATTACACTGCTGAAGGTCAGTACATTTACAACCCTTTTGCTATTGTAGCACTGCGCGATTGACAGCCCTGGGTAATTACATTACCTTTATGTAGCAGATGCTGTTACCCAAAGCGGCGTACAATCGAGAAGGCAAAAGCTACAGTGATTGGCGTTAAGGGCCCGATGGTGAGCCAGGATTTGAACCAATCAGTTTTTGATCACAGGCACTAAGCCACCAGCCCACCCCTCCCACGATTATCATACAGGGATAAGGGGTTGGGGGAGGGCAGAAAGCTTTGATCTTTTAAATGTTTATGGGTGACTGCCGGCGATGCCTGTCCGCCTTGTCCTTATGCGGTCATGCTCGAGACTGGCGAGTCTCCAGGGCTGCCTGAGCCAGGCTGAACCGGGGCGGGGGAATGGAACTCCGTGGACAGCCACAGGCTTTTGGGACACCCTCTCCCCCATCTAAACACCACAACGGCCGCCTCGGGTAAAATACGGCTGCTTTCTGAGTAAAAAAAAAAAAAAAAAGCCATTCCTCTTATTCTTCATGTAACAGAGCACCACAGAGACGCGGCTAATGCTGCGATCCTCGCGGTGAGCTGATAAGCGATCTCATACTTGGATAGAGGCTAGAGAGAACTTGTAATACTGAGAAGGGATCATGGCTAGTTTGAGCGTGAGCAGGGTGGGGATTCCCGCCTTTCCGAGGAGTCCCGTGATTCCCAGGAATGTAGGGCTAACAGATCCGAGCACACAGCTTATCGATCCAGGCAGTTGGATATCATAAAAAAGGTGATCGCTTCATTTCGGACATGTTTCGGGTAAACGCTCGCCGAAAGCCCTGCCCAGCATTCCTCATAAGTAAAAATAACACTGTACAGAAGGATAGATACATTACCCACTGGGGCGGGGTGTGTACCACACACATACTCCACATAAAACACAAGCTTGTTTATGTCCACAAAAGCGCTTCTGCGGGAGACTTTACTTAAAACCACGTTTGGTTTGAACAGCAAACATCCTGCTCAGGAGCATAGGACTGGGCCGTGTCCCCCCTTCCCAAAATTTAATTAGGCTTAATTCGCCCCCCAATAAACAGACCGTTGTATTTAAATGATTGTCAGTGTCACCAACTTCGATCAACTGGCCAGCGTAACATTTCTGCACACACATTTACATGTGTGTCACAATTTTATAAACTTATTGTATTTGCAATACATTGCATGGGTCTGTAGGGTTTGCAAACTATTCCAATGCTTTTGATGCAGCAAATTTTAGTTTTATAATGGAATTATATAAATTTGCTGTAAGTTGTGTCCCCTTCCCCCAATCTCAAATTCCCTCCTACGCCGTTGGTCTTCCTCATCCATGCCCCTCAGTCAGTTCCGGGGTTCAGAAGAGGCTGGATTCTCCCTGTGGTCCCCAGCGTCCCCTTCGCAGTGCGCGCACACGAACCCGCGGGCACACGCATACACACGCTCTCACAGAGACGGACACACGCACGCACTCATACACGCACGCGGGACCCGGCTCGCCTTCTTGCCAGCTCCCTAATGGAAACTATGAGTAGCTGCCGGCGGAATTGCTGCCGATAAACAAAGCCATAAAAGCCCCTTCAGTCCCGCCATTCTCACGCCGTTCAGCCCGTCACTGTCTCTTACTCCACGAACAAACGCCCCACTGTCCCCTTCATACAGTCCAGCTGATGGTTCCCAATAAAAAGGCGCACAGCTGCGCTTATGCTCTTTGCCCGGCCACTTTTAATGCATTGCGCACACTTTTCCCTTTAAAGATGCCCCATGCCCTTTATCTGCGCTTTGACGACAGTGCTAAAAATAAAGTTATTTATTTGTTTCTAATGTATTTGTTTTACACAAGGAGGCAATGCGCGCACGTCATGGAAACTCACCCCCCCACCCCCGACTCCCCCAGTTCAAACCGTGGATGTGTACTAGATTATGTCTAACAAAATATATATAAATAAATTCTCAGCC